GGAACAGCACCTCGCCGTTCTTCCTGTCAGGAGCAAAGTGCAGCGCGGCCATGAGGCCTGTCCCCTCGCCGCCCGAGAAGTCCGTCTCTCCTGGCGGGAATGAGGTGGGCTAAGCCGGGTGCGAATAGGCGTTCTCTGGCCGCCAGAGAAGAGAGCCCGCCGCGGGGGTCAGCGAGGAGGCCGGGCGCCCGGGAGGAGGCAATGGCGGTAGTCGGTGGTACTGTCCACGGACTGCTGCTCGGCCCGCCTTGGATGTTGGAGAACTGGTGGCCTCCTGGTGTATATTCTGAGAAGGGCTACGGCGAAGTGTGGGTGTTGCAGGTGAGAAGAGAAAGGGGGAGTGAGGGAGAACCCCGGGGCTTTGGGTCCGTGAACCTTAAAAATGAAATAAGAACTGACAGTCCTTTTACCCGCACGAATGGGTTTCTGTGGAGACGGAAGAGAAGTGCGATTTGGAACGAAGAAGCTGAGTGAAAGCAGTAGGTCGGTGTGGAGAGCAAGAGACGCAGTCTTTTTTCAGGGGAAAGGGGTGAAGTCGGGAAGGCTGTTGTCAACTTAAGTCCACTGGAGCCAACTGGAAGTGCTGGTATAGTGGCTTCTCATTGGCTGAGCTGTTGGGTGGGGCGCTCAGGACAGACTGTCTTTTTGGGTCTGTGCTTGTGAAGGAGTATCCCCATATAAGGTCAAGTCAGTCTCTGTCGGTTGAGTCTGCAGTTGATCACTGGCAGTGCCTGAGAGCTCCCCCCAGTGCAGCCTCCCGGCTCCATTTTCGTGAGGTTTCCCATCACTGATTTTCACAGGTCCTAGCAGCTGAAGGGACGGAAGCGCCCATCAACCTGATGGAAGTTAGCAGTCGGTTGCGTATCCTTGGGGATGTCCTAACTTGTTTTGACATTGTTAAGCGACTTAGATGTTTCAGAGAAGTGTGAGTGATGGTGCCAAGTGGGCAGCTGGACAAGATGTTTTGGGAAACTGGGGGAAAGATTCATGATGGAGAGTTTGAAAAATGATGGCTACTGTGTGGACCAGGGTGGAGATCTGGATCACATTTAGGAAGGGAATGCAGAGTATCATGGTAATACTGCTAGTAGGTCAGAGGGTCCTAGTAAAGTCTGCTGAAGAGTGGTTTTCTTCCTCAGCATGTGGTTGGGGTCGCTGGGCATTGTGAACACAGGTGAAGGAGAGAGAATGATCTGGCAGAAACATGGGCAAGCCTTCCCTGGGATGATGGGACAAGAGATAGCTGAGGACAACTAGGAGTTTTGTGGGGTTTTTTTTTTTTTTTAATTTCTTTGTTTAACTAGGCTCCATTCCCAGTGTGGAGCCCAGCATGAGTCTTGAACTCATGACTCTGAGATCAAGACCTGTGCTGAGATGAAGAGTCAGATGCTGAACCCAGTAAGCCACCCAGGCGGCCCCTCCTATGAGTATTTGAGAGGTTGGAGATTCTCTTTAGTATTCTAGGGCTTCACCAGAATCTTGTGGTCAGCTCTTATGGTGTCTGGGGTATTGCAAAGTCTTGCCGCTGGGAAAGTTCTGGGGCAGATGTCATTTGTGGTTCGCTTTGCCTGGCAAGGAGACC